GCCTGAACCCCAGCAACACAAAGAATAAATATGAAAGGAAACAGCAGAAAACCCACAATGAATTAATATTTTCAGACTGGTTATCTGTATGGAACTAAAACTGACGAGTTAAACCTAGGATAGTAGGGGACGACTGTGTGTCATCTCATCTAAAATGCAGAGTAGGTCAGGTCTGTGACATGAGTAAGGATAGTTATCCCCATGTAAAAATGAACAGACAGGTACATACCGAGCCTGCGGCAGAACTAGAGCTGTACCCATTATCTTAAAGTCCACTCTAGGCTGGTTATGGTGGCGCACACCTGTAATCCAGCACGCAGGAGGATGGCTGCAAGTTTGAGGTCAGCCAGGGCTACATATTGAGTTGAAGACAATCCTGGAATACATAGTGAGACCAAACAAACAAAATCTACTCCAGAACCCACACAGCTGTCTGTGATTTCCTGAATTGTAATTTAAGCTAGTACAGAGGAATTGAGAAGAGCTCCCTTTCCTATGTTATTTTTAAATACTAGCAACAGCACTGAAAGAGAATGAAGTGTCCTTAAAATTTTTTATTTTGTCGGGGGCAGCACTGGGGATTGAACCCAGGGCCTTCGTACTGAGCTAGATTCCCTCTTACCACTTTTTTAGACAGGGTCTTGTTAAGGACAATAAGTTGTTCTTGCTAAGGTTGGGCTAAGGACTACAACCTTTGATCTTCTTGTCTCAGCTTCCTAGAGTGTTAGGATTACAGGTGTACAGCAGGATGCCCAGCTTAGTTAATTCTTTAATAGTTTCTGCTCAGAGAAGGTCTCCCCACCCCATTTCAAATTATGAAACAAGCATACTCTAGGCAGAGTTAAAACTCCTAGGCTGGGAATTTAGCTCAGTGGTGCCGCTGCCTGCCTCACAAGCACAAGGTCCTGAGTTTGATCCCTGTACACAAAAGACAAAACCAAAACCAAAGCTCCTACTGAAAAAAATGGAAGTTGGATAAAAAGATATTCCACACAGTTCAAAGACTAAATGATTTCTAGGAAATATTGGAAAGTTCTTTGTAATTATTGTAATGACTTCTCCATTTAGCTCTACCCAGCTATAATGTATAGCTTTTATCCTGTAATTTATCTTTAAAAATGAGAAAGACTCTACACCATCTCTGCCCACAGTTCTGATGCTGTGAAGACTTTCAGGGGATTCCCAGTGGAGATGTTCCAGGGCACTAAAGCTAGAGAATGAATATGGTACTGTCTTCTTAGAATATAAACTTAGCAATTATATTAGAGATTAAGAGCATGGGTGCTGTGGAAGAGGGGATCAAGTTATGTAGCCTGTAAACAATGTTCCTGTGTGTGTGTGGTGCTAAGCTTGAACCCAGGACTTCCTGGGTGTTTAGCACATGATATACCATTGAGCTATACCTCTAGGCTCTTAAGATATTTTTATAATGAGACATACATACATACAGTCACCCCTTGTGTCCTTGACTTCTGCGTCCATGTGTCTGGGTCACTTTCTTGTCACTGAGACACAGTACCCACCACCTACACCTTGAAGGAGAGGTTTCTTTGGGCTCATGGTTTTAGACTTTGGCCTTTGGAAGGGCCTGAGCAGAGGAAATTGCTCGTGTCATGATGGCCAGGAAGCAGTCAGAGAAGGGAGGGGTTGGGGAGGGAAAGTACCCTTGCAGGTCATTCCCCCCTAACCTGCCTCCTCCAGCCAGGCCCTCTCCTAACAGCTGATGGAGCTGCAATCCCAGTAGTGCCTACATGATGCGGTCACCATCCAAACACATGAGATCAAAACTGTAACACCATGTATTCACCTAACCTGGGATTGAAATATTCAGAAAAGGGCTGGTGAATGAAGCCAAATGGAAAAGTGTTTGCCCAGCATGCATAAGGCTGTGGGTTTAATCCCCACAGTGACAAAAAGAAAAAGAAATATCTATAACAAATACATAGAGGCTTCTTTTTGTCATTACTTCCTAAACGATACAATACAACCACTATATAGTGTTTAGATCATACTAGATATTGTAAATAATCTAGACATGATTTAAAGCATGGGAAGAGATGTGTGTAGGTACATGGAAAAACCAGGCCATTTTATGTAAGGGACTTGAATATCCTTGGATTTTGATATCCATGGGGCTCTTGGATCCAGCTCCTCACACCAAAGGATGACTGTATTTAGAATTCATACATAAAATTTAAAAGGGTAGATAGAGCTGGGCATGGTGGCACACGCCTGTAATCCCAGCACTCGGGAAGCTGAGGCAGGAGGATTGCCTGGAGTTCGAGGCTGGCCTGAGCTACATAATGAGTTCAAGCCCAGTATGAACTACATAGCAAAATCTTGTCTCAAAAAAAAAAGAAAGAAAAAGTTGAAAGGGGTAGTATGTTGTGGTAGACATATGTGGTGGTATAGACCTGTAATCTTAACTATGTAGGAGGCTGAAGCTAGAAGGTCTCAAGTTGAGGCCAGGTTGGGCAACTTAGTGACATCCTGTCTCAAAAAGGGCTAGAGATGCTGGCTTCAGTCCCCAGAAAAACACACACACACACACACTCACACACAGTGTATTGTGGTAGACAAGGACACAGACTCTGAAGGCAGACTTTCTTGGTTTGAATAATTCTTTACTATCTGTGGATTCCCAGACACCTTGTTATCACAAAAGGTCTGGTTTTGCTGCCATCCAAAAGAACCAATAACATCAGAGATAGTAATGGGAAAAGAAAGGTTTTTTGTGCAGCATGTCAGCAGATGGGAAGTCACTGCCTGTGATCCTCCTGCCTGGTGCTGCCAGGAGACCGCTTATGGTGCATCTTTTATGGGAATATCATCTCAGTGTTGGACAGGAGGGTGTAGGGCAACTCATCAGTCCCGAGATAGCTAGTTCTCTCGGGTCATAAGCCACTGAGCACTGCAATTTATTACAGAGGATATTTTGAAAGAACCTAAGAAAAGCTGTAGAAGAGATGATTGCACAGTTTGGAAGCAGGGTGTGAAGCTTCTGTAGCCTCCCTGCTAGCCATCCTTCCAGCTCCTCTGCATGCTCAGGAACCTGGAAGCTCTCCAAACTCCGCTCTTCAGGTTTTTTACAAAAGTTTCATTATGTATGCATGATTGATTAAATTATTAACTCTGACCTGTAGCTCACCCTTCAGCCACTCCTCCCTTCCTGGAAGTCAGTAGTAAGTGCCTTCTGAATTCTGTGAGCTATTTCTAGCAAATAATTGAATTCAAGGCCTTCCTCAGAGGGATCATGGACACCTCCAGTTTATAGCTGAGTACCAGTGGAAACCTGAAACTTTGGACTGGTGTTGGGAGTGTGGGCAGTCTGTACAGCTGAGCCATGAACCTGTGGGTCTGCGCCAATTCTGGGTAGTGTTAGAATTCAATTGAACTATAATACTCAGTGGGGTCAGAACTCTGGTGTAGAGGAAACCTCACATATTTGGTGTCAGTAGTGTGAGTAGAAACAGCTTGGACCACCTTTTTTTTTTTTTTGGTACTGGGGATTGAACTTGGGCCCTTGTGCTTGAGAGGCAGGTGGCAGAACCGTAGAGCCAAATGTCCATCAGGACTTTTATTATTAAGTAACTGGCTTTTTGGTAGATAGCCTTCCTCAGGTTGAGGAAGTTTGATAAATTAAATTACTTTTTGACCGTGTATTCTGAGTATTTTTCTGTGTGATTAATACAGTATATATTAGAAAAAAAAACATTTTTAGTGGCTTCACATTATTCAGTCATTAAAATGTCACATATGCCGCTGGGTGTGGTAGTACACGCCTGACATTCCAGCACTCAAAAGGCTGACTTTGAGGCTAGACTGTGCTACATAGTGAGTTCAAGGCTAGCCTGGGCTGCATAGTGAAATCCTGTCTCACAAAGACACCACCACCAAAATAAAGTCACATTGCTGTATAATGTGGTAAGAGTTGTACTGAATCAGCTCCTGTTTTGAAGCTATGTTTTGTCATTTACTAAATGTAAAATGGTGAGAAAAATGCTACTTTTCTGAGCCTGTTTTCAGTTACATTAATATGAAGATAATATTTAACTGTTTTTCAAAATAAGGGTGAGGAATAAATGAAATAATGGACAATTCTTGTAAAATATTCAGCATAGTCATGCAGAGCAATGACAAGGACGTTTAAAGTGTTTATTTTTATAATTAAAGCCCTTAAATCTTTGCTCATTTATTAGTTTTTTTATTCCTTGTACTGAAATGGGATTAAATCCTTCCTCCTCCCCATCCCCTCTCCTTTCCCCCTTCTTCCATCTTTCCCCTCCTTTTTTCCTTGGGATTGAATTTTGGGCCTTTGCACTGAGCTACAATACCCAGCCCTTTTTCTATTTCTTCTTTTGAGACAGGGTCTTGTGATCTTCCTGCTTCAGCCTCCCAAGTGCTGGGATTATAGGTGTGTGCCTCCATGCCTGGCCAAGCTTTTTCTTTTTTGAGGATAACATCTATACTAAATTCTTTTACCCAAATAAACTCACCATATTTGAATAACAACATTGGAAATGAGAATTTCGTGGGAGATTAAATTGAAAAGTAAATTAGAGTTAAATTTTTGAAGGACATCTGTGTATCCAAGAATTTTGTCCACTGTCTTCAAGGCCCATGGGAATCCATTGAAAGTTTGAGTAGGAGAGTGATTAGAGATAGTTTAGGAGGGTCAATTGAGAGAGAGTTCAGGAGGGTCAATTTGCTGTGCCTCTGAGGCCTTCCCTAACCATTCCTGACAGTTAGAACTTCCTGCATGCTTACATGGTACTCAATACAATGTGTCCGTCCTGTGTACTGAACAGTGTGTAAATGTCCTTTTTGGTGCTTCTGTTCTTTCCAGGAGTGTGGCCCAAACATTGTCTTCCCACTGCCTAACAGTATCCTTTGCCTATCACTGTCTTATTGGATGAGTAAATAAAGGTTTCATTCTCTGCTTTTTTGGAAACTAACTTGTTCCTTTTGTGTTCCCTTCATGTATCTTTCTGGGCTCCTAGGAGGAGACATCTCCTTATTCCTTACTTGATATCTGCTTGAGTTTCCTGACCACTCACCTTGAGAAATTCTGTTCTGCAAGGCAAGATGGAACATTATGTCTGCAGGAACCTGGGGTGTTTCCACAAGAGGTAGCTGATCGACTGCTTCAGACCATGGCATTTCATGGTAAGACAGAAAAAAAAGAAACAAAAATTATGTGCTGTTAATTGGTACTGGATTAAGAAGTACTGCTGTGGCCATTTAATTATTTTCTTAGAAATTACAGAAAAGACCAGATGAACCTGATTCTAGGAAAAGGAATTCATTTATTTTTGTCTATCCTGTCTCTTTACTGTGAAATTTAGAGTAAGCATTTTTCTTTTCTAATCTGGACAAACTCTTTTTTTCCTCTGCTTTGAGAAGCCATTGTTTGTCAAAAATAACTTCTGTAATTACAAAATACCCATTTAGAAATCTTTGAGTATAAAATATCTTTATCTTTGACAGTGGGAGAATCAATACTATCATGAAAAAACTGGTTTCTGGTTTTGATCATTAATATGGCTAACTTAATACTTGCATTTTCTAAAACAAATTCTAAATTGAGAAATATCTGTGAAATGATGGTTATGTGTATTGAGTCTTTTATTTTTATATGTTTTAAATTGGAAGAGATAACACCTTTATTATATCTTATAAATTCTTACAAGTGGGGAATACAACTTGTTCATAGCTATAAAATAGAATGAAAATTTGGCAACAACAATAGCGATCATTTATGGATTGCCTGATTTGTGGCCTGCATTTTACATATATTTAGCCATCATTACCCCCATTAATATACAGATGAAGAAACAGGTTGAGAGCAGTAACTTCCTGCTGGTCATAGTGCTAGTGAATGGTTCAGGTGCAGGTCTATTTATGGACATACATTCTTCCCACTGGCCACACGGCCTTCTGTACTGCACCTACAGTTGTCCTTGCTTCTGTGTGCCACTTCTGCTGTGACTTTATGTGAAAAACTCTTAAGCTTGTGGGCAGATAATGCATTCCAGGGAAGAGTAGGGGGAAATATGGCTTAACTGAGAGGTATTTTTTGGGGAATAATTTAGGAAAGATGACCTCTGTAATACTTGGTTTCCACTAGTTTGTTCAAGCCTGTCAGCTCTTTGAATTTTTCCACTCCACCACAGGAACCAGGGTAAAATTCAGTGAGTACTATATGTTAAAAAGTTCCCTACAAAACTTCACAGCAATTTAAGAGATTATGCTGGTGCTACTATTTCTTTCTAATCTGAATTTAATAATTTTGGTCGGCATATTCAATTTAAAAACTCGTAAATAAAAAAAGTGTTAACTAAAGTTTTAACTTTGCCAGATTGAATTATTCTTCTGAAATATAGTTAGTCATAGCTAATAGTAGCAGCCAATATTTGTTGGATACTTATTAATATACTGTGGCAAATGCTTCATATGGATAAAATGACAAAAGTGACCTTTAAATAAACACAATTAAATAGTTGTCCTTCAGAATGGTGTTTTAGGAAGGCAATGTGATTGATCAAAATGTATTTTCTAACTCTTCTGCTCAAACTGCCACCCACTGAGGAAACTGAGGGTTAAAGAGTAATTTGCTGCCCCTACTTGTATTGCCCCAGTGTGATGACCTGTTAGTTCTGAGTTACTTTGAACAGTACAGAATGGAATTGCTGAGAACGTGCAAGAGAACATGTTGCCAAATCTGGTTACAATTTTAAAAGGTCGTTTTGTTAATTTTTCTGTGGTTTGAAAGTTTTTCATAATAAAGTTGAAAAAGAGACAAGCACAGTAGTGCAAGCCTACGATCCCAGTTACTTGGAAGGCTGAGGTGGGAGGATCCAAGTTTAAGGTAGCCTGGGTAACATGACAAGACTGTCTCACAAACAAATTTTTTTCTTTGTAGATGAAGCCTCATGTCTTTCCAGCTTCTTTCAAGATTTTTCTGTTTTTAGTGTTCATGTTTTGGTGTGAATATCCTTGGGTTTGTTTTAAGTGGCATTCATGCATCTTATTCAGTGTATAGTCTGTCTTTTGCCAAATTTTGGAAACATTTTTGTCATTATTCAAGTACTTCTTGAAACCCACCCTCTTTCTCCTTCTCTTTTCCTTGGGGATTCCAATGACACAGATAGCTTTGGATATTTATTTGGGGGGAATGTTCTAGTGTATTTTTTCCTTTCTAATTTGGGTATTTCTATTTTTTTATCTTTCTAGGTCACTGATTTTTTCTCCATCTGTTCCCTCAATCTGCTTTTGAGCCCAAACAGTATTGTATTTTTCAGTTGTAAAATACGTTTTTTTTTTTTGGTACCGGGGATTGGACTCAGGATCTCGCGCTTGCAAGGCAGGTGGTGGCACCACTGAGCTAAATCCCCAGCCCAGTTGTAAAATTTTGATTTGATTCTTTATGTTTTCTCTTTCCTTGCTGAAGCTTTCTGGTTTTCATTTGTTTCAAGCATGTTTGTAATTGCTCACTTTTGAAAATGTATTTGCATTTTGACCATCACTCCTTTCAAATCTTTATGAAATGATTTTAAAATTTCTGTTACCTCAGTTGACATCTGTTGTTAGCTTTTCTTCTGTTTTAGTATATGACTACTTTTTGATAGAGAGCTGGATGTCTTGAATTCTGTGTTCTCCTATTTTGGTTTGTGTCTGTGACAGTCGCAGTCAAAGCACAGCCTCGTCGCTGCTGTAGGAGTTGGTGCTCTGGCTTCCCACTAGGATTCCAGGGACACCTCTAGCTGAGGGAAAAATGAATGAGTCATTTTTGCTTCGTCATCACAGGCACCATGTTGGGAGCAAGTGATCTTGTTGCTGCTAGGCCACCGTGAAAGTCCTGACTTGTCACCAGGTTTCCGATGACAATGCCCCAACAGGGAGAGTGAAGGACTTCATTACTGCTAGATGGATGTCAAAGTCAGGGCTCCCCAGATGGTATCCACTGACACCACAGGGGCAAAGGTAGGGATGCTGTCAGCTATCCCAGCTAGTAGGGGTGAAAGTCCTGGCTCCATAGGCTTCTCCAACGCCTCCCGTGTGGGGAGGTTGAGGCAGGTAATTACAGCCTTGTGAGGATGGAAACCTAGGCTCCCTTGGTGTTTGCTAGCACAGAGGCAATCTTGGGTCACTTTTTTTTTTGTTGTTGGTACTGGGGATCAAACTCGGGACCTTGCGCTTGTGAGGCAGGTGGCAGAACCACTGAGCTAAATCCCTGGCCTGGGGTTACTTTTTTACCCACTGGGGTCTTCAACTGTCCAAAAATTGCCTGTCTTGCTGTCTCCATCTAGTACTTTGGGTAGAGTGAAGATTATTTTGGAGCTTGTCTGTGCTCATTGTTGTTTCCTGTGGTGCTGGCTTCAACTTTGGGTGTGGGATAAATGACCAGAAAAACACCTAGGGTTTCACTGTGTTTTTCCTTGAGTACCAAGGTCCCCAGCTGGACCGTTTTGTTTACTTTCATAGTGATCTATCCACAGCTCATCTTCCCAGCCTCATTTTTGTTTCCCCATTTGTGTGCTTATATCCCAAGAAATGTACCACATTATCACTCACATCCAGATCTTCAACTGTGTTTTCTTCTCTTTATCAGGGACAGGGCTGCAGGTTTTCCTTTCCTTTGCTTTCTTTTCCTTATGTTCAAGTAATATAGAACTACTTACCATTTTCTAGTTGTATAATGTGCCTACATATGTAAGGCATTGTTCATGCTGTCTCTTCTCCCTTTGAAGCTGCATTTTCCTTCTTTTTCCACCTTTGAGTTATTTTATCATCTTTGAAGTTCTTACTCAAGCATTATCTCCTCCATCCAGTACGTCCCAGATCTCCAGTCAGAATGAATCACTTCCTTGTTTTCATGGTACATTGTACTTAGCTCAGGTATACCATACATCTTGTTCGGTTATGGTTGGTTGTCTTTTTTCTGTGGAATTATAAATTGAGTATAGAGGCATATCTTTTTTTTTCATCTATAATATTTAATACAGCTTGACCTACAGTATTAGTTAAAAAGTTGTTCATTGACTGGGTGTGGTGGTGCACACCTGTAATCTCAGCAATCAGGAGGCTGAGGTAGGAGGATCTCTGTAAGTTTGAGGCCAACCTGGGCTACATAGTGAGTTCATGTCCAGCCTGAACTACACAGCGAGACTGTCTCAAAAAAAAGTTGTTGAATAGATGGAAACCCATCATGAAATTTACCCCCTGATATAGAGTTAAGGTAGTTTAAGACTGTCTCCAGAATAGTACTGTCCAATAAAAACATAGTTTTACGTCCACTGGTGAACACATTAAAAAAGTAAAACAAGAGCTGGTGGCATAACTCAATGGTAAAGTGCTTGCCTAACATGGTTGAGGCCATATGTTCCACTCCTAGCAATGCACATATACACTCAGGTCCATACATGCATGTGTGCACAGGTGAAACAAATTATAGTAACTTATTTAAACCAATATATACAAATTAGTGTCATTTCAACGTATGATAGATATAAAGTTATTGAGATATTTTACATGTCATTTTTTACATCTTTTTTTAACATATTTTTTTGCATCTTATTTTTTGATTGCACTGTGTATTCAAAATCACAGTATATACTTTTTTTGAGAGGGTCTTGCCTTATAGTTCATGCTGAACTCACTTTGTTGTCCAGGCTAGCCTGAACTCAACAGTGATCCTCCTGCCTCAGCCTCCCAGGTGCTGGGATTATAGACATGCCCCACATGGGGCATGGTATGGTGGTGCGTGCCTATGATCCCAGCATTCTGGGAGGCTAAGGCAAGAGGATTGGAAGTTTAAGCCCACCTTGGGCAACTCAGCAATTTAATAAGACCCTGTCTCAAAATGGAGAATAAAAGATGTAGCTTAATGTGAAGGCCCTGGGTTCAGTCCCTAGTACAAGAGAGGGTATGGGTCCTGAATCTGTACTAGCTATTTAAGTGCTCAACAGCTGTGTGGTTGGTACTATATTAGAAAGTACAGCTCTTGACTATATAGTGGGGTTCTTAACATGCAATTATTTATTTTTATCTGTTGTGCTGGCTTTTATAAAGTTTTTTTATCTAATGATAATTGATAACATCCATTAGCAAAGAGTACTCCCTTTAAAAAAATACCTTAGTTCTAATTTGAGGGTGGCTTATTGGCAGTCTGGACTACAACTTTAGGATGAGCTAGCTGAGGGGCCACTTGACTTAGTCTCTTGACATCAAGCTCTTTGTTCTTTATTCTGCCCCAGCTGCTCATTTACTGGAGACTGTTCTCAGACTACCTTCTATTGGCACAGCTGTTGCTTCTTTCATAGTAGATGTTGTTCAGGTGATGTGATACTGCTGAGATATGGCTTCAGAGTATGTGCAGCACTCTTGATTGGTAGGCAGGTGCATCTCTTAGGGATTTCTTAAAGCATTTATTGTGTCTGCTTTATTTACATTCATTTGAAAGAGGGGGGCTGGAACTCCTAGGTCCTTTTAATAGATTTTAGATCTGGCTAGTGGTTTAATAATGTATTACAAGCACTTCATGTGTGCTGAATATAATATATATTGGTTTATATCACAATATGTTGTAGTGAATTTAAAATATAGGCTAGAGATGCATTGGTAGCAAATGAAATATCTTAACCCAAAGTTTAAACCTCACTCATAGTACATAAACTCTGTAAACCCATCAAGGGCTCCATTCCAGGGTATCCAGACTCCCTTCCTGAAGCTGTGCCCTCTAAGAGTTGAAGACTTCTGATTCTCCCTGTCCAGCTGCAGGAAGCTCTGGGAAGTATAGCTGTCTGTATGTCCAGTAAGCTGAGGAGAACCAAACGCCAGTAGAGTTCATAATGATCTACTGGAGTCCTGATTCTGTCTCTTGTTAGCTCTGTGATCTTGGAGAGCCACTTTTTAAGCCTCAGCTTATTTGTCTATAAATTGTAGGCAAGAGTAATAACCTACATTTCACAGAATTACAAGTATCAGATAAAATAAAGTTGCATGGGATCACATTGTAAATGTAGAGTACGGTGGGCATTTTAGCTGTCTTCTAGCTGTTTCCTGAAGTAAAGTGCTGCTTGTGTTTCCTCAGGTCTACTGAACGATGGAACTGTGGGTATTTTTAGAGGCAATCAGATGCGCTTAAAGCGAGCTTGCATTCGCAAAGCAAAGATCTCTGCTGTTGCTTTCCGGAAAGCCTTCTGCCATCACAAGTTAGTGGAACTGGATGCCACAGGTGTGAATGCTGACATCACCATCACAGACATTATCAGTGGGCTTGGCAGTAACAAATGGATCCAGCAGAATCTCCAGTGCTTGGTGCTGAACTCATTAACTCTCTCCCTGGAGGATCCTTATGAGCGGTGCTTTAGTCAGCTTTCCGGCCTTCGAGCTCTCAGCATCACCAATGTTCTCTTTTATAATGAAGACCTGGCTGAAGTTGCCTCCCTGCCACGACTGGAGAGCCTGGATATCTCTAACACTTCAATCACAGACATCACTGCTCTGCTGGCCTGCAAAGACCGACTCAAGTCTCTAACCATGCACCACTTGAAGTGTTTAAAAATGACAACTACCCAGATCCTAGATGTTGTTCGGGAACTCAGACTTCTAAATCATCTTGATATCTCAGATGATAAACAATTTACATCCGACATAGCTCTTCGCTTACTAGAACAGAAGGACATCCTACCCAATCTTGTCTCTCTGGATGTTTCTGGGAGAAAGCATGTGACAGATAAAGCTGTTGAAGCCTTTATACAACAACGGCCCAGCATGCAGTTTGTAGGTTTGCTGGCCACTGATGCTGGTTACTCTGAATTCCTCACAGGCGAAGGATATTTGAAGGTTAGACTTTAAAAATGTGTTATTTTAGCTGGGGGTGTAGTGGCACATGCCTGTAATCCTAGCCCTTGAGAAGCTGAGGCAGGAAGATCTCTGAGAGTTCAAGGCCAGCCTGGGGTACATGGTGAGACCCTGTCTCAAAAAAATCATGAACAAAATAAAACAACAACAAGAAGTATTATTTTGTCAGGCTGGCCAAAGTCTTAGTCGCATAGACCCTGTTAGAATAAATGTCTGGTATTTGGAAAACATTCACAAGGCAGGGAATTATATAGGGCAGCGATAGTGGACCTTTTAAAGCTTCCAGCAATAATCAGCCTGCTGTGGTATGGGTGCTATGGGTTCACGGTACAAGTATAGGGGAAAGGCTTGCTTTTAGAGGTGGAGTTCTAGGTAAAAGCCCAGTTTTCATGCTCCCTCACTCTGAGCAAGCTCTGGCTAACTTAATTTTGAGTTTTGATTTCCTTATTTATTAAAATAGACACTATTTCTACCTTGCAGAATTTTTCTGAAGATCAGCAATTATAAAGTACAGTGCAGTAGGTCCTCAACAAACTGTCTTGTTATGGTACCATTTAGATATTTTGAACCATTTAAATGTATCTACGAAACTAAAGATACTCCTTGTTAAATTGAATATCTAATGGTAGATTAAACTCTTGGAGGAGATCTCTACCTCAGAAATGGTAAAACTTTTCTTGTGGTTTCTGGTTCTTAATGGTTTAAATTTAGTTTAACAAACATCAGTTGGACTTAATACTGTCTTGGATTCAAAGATGAAAAACGTAAAATTCAGCTTTTGAAGAGACTAGTCTCATGGGCATGGTGGTGACATGGTAAGAAATCTGTTATGCATATGTATTTATTTACTTATACTTTAAACTTTTATAGAATCTAGCAAGTACATACTAGTATATATGGAAATGTTTAGCAGAGAGATCTGACTTAAGGCTTTTCTGAAGGATAGACGAATGTGTAGAGACTTAAGGGTGGGTAGCTTGACAGAGGGCCTTCTGTGTACAGAGAATAATATTCACAAAGGCCTGTGTAGTAGGTAGGGAGATTTGACCCTGGCATAGGTTTTTTTTTTGTCTTTTGTTTTGTTTTTGGTACCAGGGATCAAACTCAGGCCCTTGGGCTTGCGAGGCAGGCAGCAGAACCACTGAGCCAAATCCCCAGCCCGGTATTTTTATTTTTATTTAGTCTTTTTTTTTGAGACAGAGTCTGTGTAGTTCAGGCTAACCTTGACCTTACTATGTAGCCCAGACTAGTCTCAAACTTGTGACGTTCTTCCTGTCTCAACTTCTCAAGTGCTGGGATAATAGGCGTGCACCATTGCACCTCTGGCATAACTATTTTTAGAAATTTTTTATGTAAATGTAATGACCAGTCAAAGTTAAGAATCATTGTTAGAAATGACTTTAAAAAAAAAAGAGAGAGGTTATTAAAACTGCCCTTTATTCATGTATATGCAAAAGTTGATATTCCTTTTATTTAACTACTGATTTGAAAGCTAAAACATAATAGATCATGGTAGAAGAGAGCTGAAATTGCTGTCTCCTTTTTTAGAATTGTTTTATTTTGGGCCAGAGGTTTAGCTCAATGGTGCCAGTGCCTGTCTGGCAAGTGTAAGGTCCTGAGTTCGATTCCCAGTTCCACACACAAAAAGAAAAAAAAGAAAGGTTTTATTTTTCTGGGCATGGTGGCACATGCCTGTAATCTAAGCTTACATGCTGAGGCAACAGGATCACAAATTCCATGCCAGTCTTGACAATTTAGCAAGACCCTGTCTCAAATTTTTTTTTAATTGAGTTTATTGGTACATTTTAGGTATACAGTACAATTATATTCATTATTGGGAATTTAGCAAGACCCTCTCAAATTTTTTTTTAATTGAGTTTATTGGTACATTTTAGGTATACAGTACAATTATATTCATTATTGGGATCTTGTACCTTTACATGACAGGTCTTGGTTCTCATTTTTATCAAAAAAATTTTTTAAAAATAGATAAATACAAAGGACTGAGGCTATAGCTCAGTGTGAGGCCCTGGGTTCAATCCCCCAAAAGTCCTCTTCCCACTGGAGAAAAAAGAGAATTGTCTAATTTAGCATAGTTGGTTAAAACCTTGTCTGAAATGATTATCTCAGTATAGTATTGTGATGCTTCTAGTTTAGATTGGCTTATCAAAAAAATTTTTTAAAAATAGATAAATACAAAGGACTGAGGCTATAGCTCAGTGTGAGGCCCTGGGTTCAATCCCCCAAAAGTCCTCTTCCCACTGGAGAAAAAAGAGAATTGTCTAATTTAGCATAGTTGGTTAAAACCTTGTCTGAAATGATTATCTCAGTATAGTATTGTGATGCTTCTAGTTTAGATTGGCTTTATGTGCCTCTTTTTTAGACCACACTAACGGATGCAAATAATTGTTAGTGTAACTCCCTAATATTTATGTGGGATAATGGTTTTTTTAAAAATGACATGCTTATTGTGCCTCTGTCTGCATTACTTATTTTTTCTCCATTAAGTTGTAGGAATATATTTTAAATAGCTTACAGTTGATTAAAAGGGAATTAATGATGAGAATAGAAGATACTTGAGGAAAAGTAGTAGAAGATTCTTGTGGGAAATGGACTCTGCACGCACATTAAACAAACACTGCCTCGAAAACTTATGATTATAGCAAAATTATTTTCACATTAAAATTCTACTTTTTATGTTTTTCCCATTTTTTTACACAATTACAAAAGAAATAAAAGCCCTTGGACCCAGGATTTGGCCCAGTAGCACCTGCTCCTGCCTTGAAAGTGCAAGGTCCTGAGTTTAATCCCCAGTACCAAAAAAGAAAAAAGAAAGGAAAGAAAGAAAGAGAGAGAGAAAGAAAGAAAGGCCCTATAATCTTGATTATTTTTCCTCTTTTGGGCCAAATATTCATTTTCCTCTAAGTTTATCGACCTGTGGGACTTTTCATATGATAAAATTTTTCAAGTGAAAGCCTAGGGTTTGGAAAGAAAAAGATGAATTCTTAAAGGATACAGAGAATGCTCCAAACAGAATGATGGGAAAATAGATCTATCGTTGCTTATTTTATCATCCTTAGAGACTCAACTCACCCTTCATTCCTCCCCAACCCCAATTTATGCAATCTTTAAGATAAAAAAGGTTAAAAAAGAGAAAGGTTTAAATATTTTTAAATAATTAAAAAGAAATAAAAATTTACATTTAAAAAGGAACACTGAAGGCAAGAAATATTTTCCCACCATGTATGCATTACTTAGTTTGGTCCCTTAACTCAGTCAGGAAGTTATTACTGTCCTCAGCTAGAGAAAATGTCATCTCCTTCCTAACTTCCCTTCTTCCACTCCCCTCTTCCACTCCCTTTTGTTTTTAAGAAAATGGCTCTCCAGGGTCATGGCCAGCTTTATTGAGCCTGTGTTTATACCCTGAACTGTTTGATTCTAAAGCTTGTGTCTTTCCAGTACACCTCATATGCCTATTTGAGTATCTTAGGATCTCTCTTTCCCTCACTTTCTTGTCCCACCACAGCTCTCCATTCACTTCCCATTAGTAGGATGTTTACATTTGTGTTTCTACCTCATTCCCAGGCTTTTTTTTTTTTGTACCAGGAACTGAACTCAGAACCTTGTGCTTACTTGCAAGGCATGTGCAGTGCACTTGAGCTAAATCCCCATCCCTGTAGGCTTTTCTGCCAAGCTATGGCTCTAGCTTCTGAGGATCTTTTTAAGTCTGCTAAACCTAGTATTAATTCTCAGTCTTCATATTATTCAATCTAACGTGGTATTCAATGCAGTTGATCTTGCTTCCTCCTTAAGATATAATTTTTAAAACTTACCTTCCAGGGTATCACACTTGACACGATTCTTAATTTTTTCCTACTTTTCTTGCTGCTCAGTCTCAGTTTTCTTCATTGGTTTTTCATCATCTACTAGGCATCTAACTAATGAAATGTTCCATGCTTGGGTCCTGTAGCTTACAGGTTTCTTTTTGTTTGTTTTGTTTCTTCGATACAGGGTCTAGCTGAGTAGTTCCGGCCAGGCTTGAACTTAACTGTGTAGCCTACACTGGCTTCAAATTGGTGGCAGTCCTCCTCCCTCAGCCTTGGGAAGTGCTGGGATTATAGGCGTGTGCCACCATGTGATGACTCCTAAATATGTACCTCCAGTTTAGACCTCTCCTTTGAATTTAGACTTTTGTATTGAACTACAGTAATCAACAGAGAAATTGGTCCATTAAAAAAATTTACAAAGTACTTTTTAAAGATGTCTGAGTTAGTATTCTTGTTCTCAAAGAATTCTAGTCTAGCAGAGAGGAGACAGATTAAAAAATATCTTCAATCTGTGCTGGGCATGCTGGTGTTCATCTGTAATGTTAGCTTTAGAGAGCATAGTGCTGCAGGAGGATCACAAGTTCCAGGCCAGCCTAGGCTACATAGTGAGACCTTGTCTCAAAGAAACACAAAATTTTGGAAATATGTAGTGTGGTGGTACAGCACCCCTGTGTTCCATCTCCACTACTACTGGAAAGAAAAAGTTTTAATCCTGTGTGAAAGTTGCTGTAGTAATGTACAGAGTATTATAAGGAAATTTTGTTCTTTAAATTATTTATACTTTGGGTTTCTCATGTAAGAGAAGCTATGCAATATTTAAGTTGTGTGTCTGATCTGTTTTACTTAATATTATGGTCTCAAAGTGCATCCATTTTCCTACAGATGACTTAAATTTATCCTTTATGGCAGAGTAGTACTCTTGTCTTACTTTTTTGTTGATGAGACACAATACCTGACACCCACCTTAAAGGAGGAAAAGTTTCTTTCAACTCAGTTTGTAGATGTTTCAGCCCATCGTTGGCTGGCTCCAAGGCGTTGTGGTGTGGTAGGGGGTTATCACAGAGGAAAAATAATTCATGGAATGGCAGGCAGGAAGCAGTAGACAGCGAGCAGTAAGCCTGCCTTTTTCCCTTTTATCCCATCTAGGCTATAAAC